GGTGCGGTGGATCATTCAACGCGCTCCTTCCTCAAGCATTACGTCTTGCGGCTGAGAGACGGATCCCTTAAAATCACGTAACTATAGAGATGCTGACTATGAAACAGCCTAACAGATGGAAATGAAGTTCCTGTACTATACTTCTACGTCCATACGCTACTTCCCAGCAACAGGCACGTCTCCAGCCGGCCCATCATCCTATACAAGACACCCGTCTTGACCACATGTAACAACTGCAAGTCGCGACCACTCCAACGCAAAAGGTCTCGTCAATACTGTCTCTACAGCTCTTGAAACTATCTCAAGAAGGCATCGCCTCAATAAAGATCACCTCGCCAGACTCCCCAATCCTACTGCGACTCCATCACTGGAAGCATGTCTCAAGACCAACAACCCAGCCCCAACCAGTCCACCCCGAAAAGCGAATCCGTCGTACCTGGCGACAATTCTCCAGAAGCCGGGCCCAATTCCTGGTCCGACATCAAAGACCCGAACGAAAGACGCAAGATACAGAACAAACTCGCCCAAAGAAGATTTCGTTCGTAGCACCAACTGCAATAGCTATTTTGTTTTCTACGCTAACGTGAACCAGGCGACAAAGTAAAAGAGCTGAAAGAGGAGGCAGAGCGAGACGTTGAGAATCAGCGACAAGCTGGAAGCGCATATGCATCGCCTGAACCAGAGAAGACTGATGAAAGACAGGCGCTATCGGGTCTGCCGTGGGGTGGCATCTCTATGAGACATATTGTTGAGATGGGGAAGAGTAAGGAACAGAATTCACAGCGCAACTCTCGTGAGAGTTCGACACAGGATGGCGCGTCTTATACTGGCTGAGGGAGCCTTTGACCATTGTATGGGACAAGATATCGTATTCATGTGTGGTGCTGGTAACTACTGATGCCTACTTATTAAAATCCTGTGCTTTGCTGTCATGTGTTCGTCCTGCTCGTGAAAAGGCTTCTCTACTATCATACATTTTCATGTCTTGCATGGTACATCCCCCATTAACGTTGACCTCTTTCATAAGATTGCATGGTGAACTCCACAATAATCAAGCAATAGTAGCGACCCTCTCTCTATCCTTCGCCATCTGCTTGGCGGCGCGCTGAAGCTCTTTCCGGAGTTTTCCCTTTGTGCTCTCCATACCCTGGAAGACATCCTCGTAGTCGGTGTCGTGTCGCTTGATCAGGGTGCTCAGTACATGCTCGCCATCCTGCGCGTACATCTCAGCGATGTCGTCTACACTAGTCTCGTTGCCGACAATGTGTTGCATAACCCGCTTGGAAGTCCTTATCATCAGTTCATGAAGATCGCGCTGGTGTGGCTGCAGACTCGCTTCCCAGTCCATCTCTTCTGCTTGCGAAGTTGGTAGAGGTGGGTCCGTCAATGGCTCGCGTACAGCAGAGGTTGAGCTATGGCTACTAGAAGAGCCTAAGTGTGGTGGGGAGGATTGGAGGTGTAGTGGCGAAGCGTCAAAGAAGTCATTGTCGGCTTCCTGATTGACTTCACCGCCACCGATGAGAGTATCGTCATCGTGATATGCCTGCTCGATAGGCCCGTCATCGTTCAATTGCCGGATCCTTTCGTTGAGTTGTTGCGGTTGGTCCACGATCTGCTGAGTCTCTTCGAGCAAGTTCCTTGTTTCAATGGCTTCTTGGTCGGCCTGAACAGTTGGCTGAGTAGTATCGATGAACCGCGAGTTGAAAAGCGAGGTGGGTACAGTCGTTTCGTTTCCTACCTTATCTTCAGGTACCTTTCGGGTCGTTGTCTTCTCTTTGGATAGCGCTGTGGGCTTTGGATACGTGCCAGCCCGCTCGTTATGTCTCTTTGTGTCGTCTTTTTGTTGCACTCCTCTTTGATCTCTCGACTCTTGTGTCTGATGATCTGTTGTGCCCGTATAAGGGCTCGCAACCTTGGGATTTGGGTGCGCCTTGTTCGTATCTCCTTCTGTAAGGGTCGCCTCTTTCCCACCCGAAGGCGTCTCTTGTAGGAATGGTCGACTCGCTGCAATTGAAGGTAAGGCTTCAGTTGCGCTAGAACCGGCGACTGGCAAAGGCCGCTGGTTTGAAACGTCAATCGCAGGGGCTGTGTCCTCGTTCAATGAACCTTCTCCAGTCAGTCGGCGTATGAACGATGTGGCCTTCTTCCCAACAGATCTTCGTCCAAAGGGGTCGCTTTTCGCGGTCTGCCAATCTCCTGTCTTCTTCTCCGAGGCTATATCCTCACAATCAGCGTGACCAGAGATCGCAGTGGATTCTGCATTTGGTGACGCGGGGGTAGGTTTGCTGTTGCTGGAGAGCATTGCGGTCTCGACAGCAATCGCATGATGCCACTCATCATTTTCTTCGGCCTCATCAGCCACAGGCGGTGACGATGCCATGTAGTGCAAAGCATCATCTCCAGAACATCTCCGTGCTTCCACAGGGGTTTGGGGCCGCACTGATACTCCCGCAGACTTTTTACTCGGTTTGGTAGGAGTTGATGGTGTTTGAGCGACTCTTGCAGGTAATGTTGGCTTCTTGAACGGGCTCTCGGAGATCTTGGCAGGTCTTTGGAGACCCAGAAGTCCTCCGATCAAGGTGTGTCGTGACGAAGGGACGGATGATGGAGGTTTTGATGGTTTCGCCAGCGGAAGAGCTTTCGCCTGTTGTTTTGCGCCGGTCACAGTCGACCTCGGACCTTTGTTCGGCTCTTTACGGGATCTCTTTCTCGGGTTATCATCGGTCATTGGATCTGGCGTTGCTTTGCGTTTGGGGTTTGTCCTTGTTTTCGGCCTCGTCTGACTTGGTATAAAATCTTCGTCGTCGTCTGCTCCATTCTTGTTATGCAATGTGCGTGCCTTAGTCTTAGTCTTGACTGGCTCCTTGTCGGAGGCAGCCTTTGAGCTTCGTAAATTTCTTCGGGGAGATGAAGCAACACCCGATGTGTCCGAAGAAGTATTGCGGACATTTCTCTTGCTTTCTATAAGCACATCGAGAGCTTCGTCTTCCGAGTTGAGCTTTTTGAAGATATTTTGTTTGGTGGCCTGAGATACACGAGGTAGCTTTCCCTTGCCGTACGTGCGTTTCGATGTCGACGATGGATGCTGTGACGGGGGTTGCAGGGCTGTCGCACCGCTACTGTCTGCGGTAAGTTTCTTACAGGTGACGCGCTCTTTCCGAAGCGTCTGGGAGCCACTTCGAAGCGATCTTCTTGCATTTGACTGTCGGATCGAAGGCGAGCTCGCATCGACAGACAAGTTTCGAGACACTCTCAAACGAGGCTCACGTTCTTTCTGATGGGCTTTGATGCAACTCTCCCACTCTAATGCGTCTCCCGAATGCTTGAACATTAGCGATAGATCAGTCGCAATGCGTTGCGTGGAATTAAGACGGTAGCTCCAGGGCTCAGACGTGAGTGTCATGACGAGATCCCATGGTTCGTGCTCTGTACGTTGAGCCTGTGAGTTGTGTAGTTTCGACGGTTCTGATCGCGTGTTCAGAATGTGCTCGACTGGTATGTCTACAAACTGGCAGTCTTTCAGGTGCTCATCGGGCGCAATGATGGTCAGCACTCCAGCCTCAATGAGCGCGATAGGAAACGTAGCGCTTGACTCCCGCCATTTAAACCCATCTGTGGCGAATAGTGAGACTAGGTACATGACAGAGGGCTCGCTGGTTGGTCTCGCAAGTGCCAGGTCGCTCAGAATGTCGAGAAAGCCCTGGAACTTCTGCATCCATTCGGCATCGGCCTCGAGCGGAAAATTCGGCGCGCTGTGTCCGACTTTTCCCGTAGACCAGAACCTGCTGTACTCGATCCCTTGTTCCAGTGCCTGCCGTATGATGATACCAGCAATAATTTTGATCTGCTCCTGTTCAGTTTCGCTCAGAATGATGGCTCCCAGATTGCGTAGACGCTTAGTCGATGCCCCGATGTGTGTGGCCACCGCCGGCATTTCCAGCATGCCTGCGAGCGCGATGCCGATCCATCGCCGCCGGATTATAGAAAGACCAGGGTCGCAGAAACTACTCAGATAGTCCTGCGCGACTGAAGAAAGACTTGAGCTGCTGAAGTCGCGTGCAGAGACGAGCTTGTAGAGACGTAAGTTGGACGCGTCGTTGTCGGGCAGCTTGAGAGCAGCTTCAAACGACATTGAGGTCATTGCGATAAAGGAAAGTAGAAGAGAATGGAATTAGCATTTTTCGCCCTACACGAGCAGGATAGCGGAGTGTCGTTGAAGATTTGGACGCGGGCAATGCACCTAAGGAAGTGAGAGCGCGGTACTGCTAGGATGGAAGTCGCGTCCCATCGGCGTTTGACGTCACAGCTGCAGGCGCGCGCGAGTTTCGCGTGGCGGGCTTGAAACCACGAACACCAACCAACAGTCGTTACCTGCACTTTACCTTCAAAAGAAAGCGCTGCGACTAAAGGAAATCGCTGAGGACGACTAAAGGGGGTACAAGTAGATAGGGGGGCTCCCAGCTTTCGCGGCCGCTCGTCACGGCTTTCAGTGGCTGTGGGCCGCATCGATGCCTGCATGCATGCGTTTGTACATCCCAAGATTACTATACTCACCCAGAGCCGGTTCCCGTGCTTTCCGGTTGCGCATGCAGTTGCGAGATGGAAAGCGATGCAGAGGTTATTGAAGGTGCTGTATTCAAGGTGAGAAAATTCGGAAGAGCGGCTTCTCCTCCACGCGTTACCCCAAGCGAACGCGCTTTGGACAGGCAAGGACCGCAGCATAGGGACAGGGCGTCCTGCTTGTCAAAGGCATGCGGACCTTCTGCAGTCTGGCGCATCGCAATGCAGCAGCTCTCGAGTCTGCGGTTCTTACCCCGCTGCAGCCTAGAAGCATGCGTTCTATTGGGACGGATGCAGCCTTCTACAGCTGACCTCAATCCGTGCGAGCCCTGTGTCTGCTGCAGGGGCTTCATCCTTCGCACATGTGCTTACGCCGCAAACGTGGCTGGTAATTTATAGTAAGACGGGAAACGGACAAGTATCTCGACCTCGACAACATCATGGTCGACAATGACAGTAGCCGGGTTACGGACGATATCACACCCTCCGCTGTGCCAATCGTACCGAACATCAGCTCGAATCGGTTACACGTCATTATCGCTGGACTATGGCTGTGTCTTTTCTTATCTGCCTTGGACACTACCATCGTCACGACCGCGCTCATCAAAATTTCGAGTGATTATGGCGCTCTGGAGCAGGCGGCATGGCTAATTACCGCGTATCTACTTACGTATAACTGTAAGACTCATTCGCTCGGGAGTCTGGTCACTAGACTAACGGTGCAGCGTTCTTGATGATCACAGCAAAGCTGAGCGACATTTGGGGCCTCAAGAGTCTCCTCTTACTTTGCGCGTCAATCTTCCTGGTATTCTCCATGGCTTGTGGCGGAGCGCAGACGATGACTCAACTAATCGTGTTCCGCGCCTTCCAAGGCATTGGAGGATCTGGCCTCTACAGCTTGACATTCGTCGCCATCATGAAGATGATTGTACCTGAGAAGATTGGCTTCTACTCTGGTATTGTCAGCTCGGTATTCGCTCTGGCAAACCTGCTAGGGCCTCTACTCGGTGGAATCATCGCTGATCGGACAACTTGGAGATGGATATTCTTCATGAAGTATGCAAGGTGCCGGTTATTGAGATGTGCGAGCTGACTAGCATTAGTGGCCCCGTAATCGGTGTCGCAATGGCAATGTTATTCTTCTCGATGCCTGCAATCGACGACGGTAGAACGAATCTGCAACGCATACGCCATTTGGACATCTATGGTGGCATCTTGTCTGTCTGCTGGCCTATACCTCTCATCTACGCCCTTCAGGAAGCCGGTGTGTCGCATGCCTGGGGCAGTGGTGTTATCATCGGACCACTTGTAGCTGGAATCGCTCTCCTGGTACTCTTTGGGTTGTATGAGTATTGGATATCGTCCAGATCGCAGACAGCCCCCATCTTTCCTGTACAATTTCTCCGGAATGCACCCATGGCGTGGACTTTATTGTAAGTCTGGAACACTGCAGTCGGACTCCGCTAACAGCGGGACAGGAGTCAGTTTCTCTTAGGATTCGCCTTTTACGTTGTCTTCGTCCAGCTGCCACAACGCTTTCAGGGAGTGAACTTTACAAGCGCGGAGCGTGCCGGTATCCTTCTGCTTCCTGCTACCGTTGTGACTCCGATTGGTGCTATGGCGTCTGGATTAGCAGTGAAGAAGGCACCAGTTGAGATTGTCTTGATTGGCTCGACCGCGATCGTATGCGTTGGTATTGGACTTCTTAGTAGTTTGCCGACCTACTCTCATCTGTGGCCTGGACTGTACGGTTACGAAATTATTACTGGTCTTGCTTTGGGTCTTGCAAGTCCGCCATATTTCGTGCTTGTCGCTACCTCAATTCCAGAAAAGGACATCGCTGTCGGTACCGGAGCGCTCAACATGGTGCGGACGCTTGGCGGATGTGTCGCCGTCGCCATCTGCTCTGCAATCCATCGCGAGCACTTGAACACAGGGTTGTCCAGTTTTTTGAGTCGCGAGGAAGTCAGGGAAATGCAAAGTTCGACATCGTTGATTGCGCACTTACCGGATGCGGCGAGGGATCGTGTTGGTGTTGTCCTTGGTAACAGCTGTAAGTTTCAATTCTCTGGAAATATAGCCATACGAGACATACATGCTGATTAGCACCACCATGCCAGACAATAGGCAGTTCCAAGTCATGCTGGCGTTCACAGGACTCAATGTCATCGTCGCTGTCATTTTAGCCATCGTCAGAAAGCGATCCGGGCTATTCGGCCTCATACCTGAAAGGAAAGAAGGGAACGAGTATGTGGAGGCTAAAATCGACCAGAGCGGGCCTGCATCGAGTGGAGCGCTGGCTCAAGATACTTGTGAGAAACAGGCTTCTGAAATCGCGGCTCCACACAGACCGAATGATAACGCGGGCGCGTGCCTTGGAAAACGATCATGAACAATTTACGGTATATCCACATTTTCGGTCACGAGACGCTGTGTGGATACTATCATGGTGGCTCCATGCTGAAGCATTTAGCGATTTCGGCACTACCGCAGTAGGGAAGTCCGGCAGGAAGCACCGAATGGACAGGTATTGAGCCTTGCTTCAGCGCATCAATCCGCGCCTCTCCTTCATGGGATCTAATGACACTCTCCCACCAGAAGGATTAAAAAGCTGTACATTTTTCGACTTACGGTGTCGAGACGTGCTTAATTCCGCACGATTATATCCGTATTGCTAGCAGATAAGCACTTGATGATGTCTAAGCAAGCAACGTCACAAGCGCATGCTTATGTGGAAGCTTAGCCGTCCCCCGCATCTTTGACCCCCGCACACGTTGCAACGCCCTTCACGCTTGAATGCTCGGCATGCGACGCCTCAATCCTCGGCATCAATAATACTGCGCCGTTGAGATCTGAAACAACGTGCACATCGTCTCGTCCAAAGGATGAGGCGGCATCAAATACATTCTGTCCACGCTGTATCGTGTCTTCTAGACGGCCACTAGCGGGGGATGTGAATAGTGGGTCACATGCGACACGAGCCTCTTCGTCACAACCACAGCGCATTACCGCTACGAGCATGAACAGATTTAAAAATACGAAGAAATGCTTAGAACACGGAACAAAGCTTCGGCAGCATCATACAAACAGTCAGGTTTTCAGACAAACGGCACTTCGCTCCTACTTCTGAACCCCGACTCTCCGCGGGAGAAGTTTCTCTGGTGGTGAAGCCAGGGATCGGCAAGCGCTAGGGAGTGGATGGTGGGGATTGGGTCCTGGAGTAAAGCACACCAGTCCCTGCCGTCATCGGAACAAGATCATCATGAGTGCACTAGATGATAGGCGGCTCAATAGCCTCGGGCTGATGATACCCCAGCCGCTTTCTCCAGTGGTTCGACAGTCGGTGACGTTCTTAAGGGACAGCGTCTCGCTCGCTGATCGAGGGGTAATTCCGGACAAGCAAGTTCCCAGTTCCATGGTTGAGATTACTGACTTGTGATTCTTTCGGACCGCGATTTGTTGCTTGACGTTCCTGCGCGAACCATTTCCTGTGCTCTGGGCACTGGAATTCATTAAGAGGCTTGTTTGAGGCTTGACATCTTGCCCAGCTACTAGCTCACATCCTGTCTCTACGTCGACAACATGGCCTCTGGAGTAGAGCGGCCAATCGATAGGTCGAGCGAGGAAGAGAAGACTATCGGCGAGGAGCATGTTGAGACGGCAAAACATGTCCATACGATCGAGAACCTACCTGATCCCGACGCTGGACTCAGCGAAGAGGAACGCGCTGCGCATGTAAGTCACATCTCAGCTCCTTGCCATATACATACTAACATCCCACCCCACAGGACAAAGCCCTCCTCCGCAAACTCGACTTCCGACTGATTCCATGGCTCTCTTTCCTCTACTTGATCTCCTTCCTAGACCGCACGAACATCGGAAACGCCAAAGTCGATGGCTTGCAAGAAGATCTCAACATGACTGACGGCCAGTACAATGCCAGTCTAACCATCTTCTTCGTCAGCTACTCCGTCTTTGAGCCGCTGACCAATGTGCTGTTGAAGAAGTTACGTCCGAGTATCTTCTTACCACTTATCATGATCTGGTGGGGGATTTGTATGACGTGTATGGGGTTGGTGCATAATTATGCTGGTCTCATGACAGCAGTGAGTCTTTTTCGATTGGTGATCCGGTATCAAGGGTTATTTAGCTGACGATGCGTAGCGGTGGTGGCTGGGATGTGCTGAGGCTGGACTGTTTCCTGGAGTAAACTACTACCTGAGTTGCTGGTACAAACGCTCCGAGTTCGGCATCCGAGCTGCAATCTTCTTTTCGGCTGCCGCTCTAGCTGGTAGTTTCGGTGGCCTACTCGCCGCTGGAATTGCGCAGATGGGAGGCGTAGGCGGAAAGCCAGGCTGGGCGTGGATCTTCGTAAGTGCAACTTGAACGCTTCCTCTTACCTGTGACCATGTTGCTGACAATAACCTCAGATCCTTGAAGGTCTCGCCACCATCTTCGTAGGAGTAGCAAGTTACTGGATGGTCCACGACTTCCCCGCCGAAGCCACATTTCTCTCTCCTGACGACCGAGCGCGCGTTCTCCGCCGTCTACGCGCCGATAAACAGGCCTCAGCTGCGCACGAGGAGTTCCAGACCAAGTACTTTTGGCAATCTATCAAGGACTGGAAGACGCTCATGTTCAGCATCATCTACATGGGCGCAGACGGTTCGCTCTATGCCTTCAGTCTCTTCCTACCCACCATCATAGCTGGGTTGGGCTATAAGTCTACGACAGCGAACCTGCTTTCCGTGCCACCGTATGCAGTTGCAGCTGTGGTGACGGTGGTAGTGGGTTATATTGCTGATCGCACGCAACAAAGGGGTTACTGCAACATGGGAGTCTCGCTGTTTGGTATTGTGGGCTTTGCCATGTTGCTCGGGTCTGCCAGTCCGAACGTTCAGTACGCGGGCACATTTTTGGGAGCTGTGGGTATCTATCGTAAGTGAACTCATCTAGCAACATGGATCGCTTAGTTCTAACATGCTCCACTAGCAACAATAGCGAATACCATATCCTGGGCCGCCAACAACGTCGAGGGTGTGTACAAGCGTGGCGTCACCCTTGGCTTTGTGATAGGCTGGGGCAACATCAATGGCGTCGTTTCGTCGAACATCTACCGCAGCAGGGATAAGCCGCGCTATTTCCTGGGACATGGTGTGGTTCTGGCGTATCTGACGCTGTGGCTGCTTGGCGGGAGCATTGTGACCCGATTTCTGCTTGCGTGGGAGAACAAGAAGAGGAGGCAGGGGGCGCGGGACCACTGGATTGATGGTAAGAGCGAAAAAGAGATTGAAGAGATGGGGGACCAGCGGCCAGATTTCCTATATACTCTTTAAAATGTAGGGTTGAAGCTTAGGCAGAACAGTAGAGCGGACTCTAGGCGTGTCGCAATAGACATGGCACTGTCGAAACTTCTGAACCTCGGCTTGTTGAAGTAAGCTTCCAAACTTCCGACTCATTTTCACTTGGATAGTAAACGCGTAGCTCGATAAAGTGCAGAAATGGTATATTCGACGGCGTGGTTGCTCATGGTATCTGGGAGACAATGTTGCAGCCTCGGAAAGAATGAATAAAGTGCAAGTTCGCAAGCTTTTAGCCCTGCGTCCGTAAGTCGAATACATGCCGTAAGATTAACGCCGCCCAATGCATGTCGTTTTATAAATTGGCCTCTCTCAGGTAAAGGTCAAGTGCTCCAGCTCACGCACCAACCTTTCGAGACTTGACGCTGTTCGCGCGTTCCTTCCTCTCGTTGCGGCGCATCCTCTCCTTCCGGTCTTTCCGATTATCCGCCCTCTGGTCGTGAGCCTCACCGGTCTTGGCTTCCTTCTTCTCGTCAACCTCGACCAGCCAGTCGTTCTCGCCCGCCTTGTTCTTGCCCTTGTAACCCCACTTGGGTACCCAGTCACCCGTGGCCTCGTCGTAAGCCAGCTTGGTGTCGCGCTTCGTGTTCTTGATGCCCTTCTTCGCAGCAAACTTGTCCCACTTGGTGGGCTCCTTGGCTTCGGGAATAGGCTTCTCGCGGGGGAGGGGTGTTGTCGGCGCGGGGAGCACGAGGTGGACGCCCTCTGAGTTTGACTTGATTTCGCAGGTCGAGAGGAGCTGGTTGATGAGGGCTTGAGCGGCATCGCGGGCAGTGGCAGCGAGGGTGGCTTCGTCGGCGCCGGCGGGGACGGGGTTGGGGTCGTTTGCGAGCAGGTTGCCCAGGTCAAAAGTGAAGGGCGTGGGCTTGTTCACCGTGACGGGCCTTTGTTGAGTCAGCAACGGTGTGGTAGAGGACAAAGCAAGCATGCGACGTACAGTCGGCTGGAGACGGTCGAGTCTGCGACGGAAGGTGCGCCGTTGGACTTGACGTCCATGGCGCCTCCGTTGATTTCGTCGGCGAGCTGGGAATGCGTGGGCGAAGTGCCACCGAGCGCGACGCCGCCGTCCATTTCGGTGTCTGACATTTTGCGAGGGTCGAGTGGTTTTGGTAGAATTTCACTTTGCACGCCTGCTGCCAAAAGTTCAGAATAAATTTCGAGTCCGTGCACGAGCGGCGGACTCCCGAGGCTGCGACCATCACAGAATTCGTCTCTCGCATCGCCAATTCGCCCATTGCGGAGGGCCAGAGCCTCGACCACCCGTCATGCCGCCGTCCACGTGTCTCCGGAGCTTCTCGCAGCTGTCGCTTGATGCCGCTGCCCATGGTTGCATTGCACCGCGCGTGCTACGCCCCCAGATAGCCTGCTTTTCCACGTCGTCCGCCCGCTACGCCGTGACAGGACCCAAGAAGAAGGGCATGACCGCCGCCCCCAAGAAGGGTGTCAAGTCTCTGAACACGAAGAAGGGCAGAGGAGCATCGGGAGGTGACTCGGGCAAGCGGCCCGCCCAAGGAGAGCGAAAAGCCCAGCGGAAGCGCATCGTTCTGAGCAACGACAACGCTCTTGAAGTATCTTCGCTGCGGGACCTCACCAAGGACAATGTTCTCAGCGAACAGAATGAGGGCAAGGTCATGGGACTACCGCAAGAGACTGTAGTGGATGCGCTGCGAGCCGTCGAGGCATTCAAAACAAGCCAGGGATGGGGTCTGTTCCGCCGACCAGCCGTGTTGATGAGGAAAGAGGCGATTGAACTCGCGAGGCTGTTCAACGAGGCCGAGAGCTCCAAGAAGACGATAAGACGGATACTGTGCGGACAAAGAATGAGCGGGAAGAGCACATTGGTACTTCAGGGCCTTACCATGGGTTTTCTACGGGACTGGTTTGTGATCAACATCCCAGAAGGTATGGACTGTGGTTTCGAGGCAGAGACAAGCCACTGACAACTCTCAGCCCAAACCCTCGTCAACGCGCATACAGACTATGCGCCTCTTCCCAACTCAGAACCGCCGCAATATACTCAAGATACGTACAC